AGATAGTGGTAACTACCAGAAGAAACAGTTAAAAGCGATAGAAAGCAGGTACCGTGAAGTACGATAGGAGTTGGAGAAGGGATGCAACAATGTAATGGTATGTCTCATTATAAACCTTGGGTAGTAATTGATTTTTAAAATTCATGTGCATGTATGATTTTGATAAAAATTTAATAAATGAATAAAGATTGGTCTAAATCTTTGGACATCTTTTTTCCTTAAGGCAGGGTGCCTCTGGACAGTTCAGATATAGATATCCCTTCCTCTGCGTAGATGCAACCCCATGTTAGGGAATCGTGGCTTAGCTAGCAGAGCCCAGGCTGGATTTCAGCTGCCAGTCACCCTGGAGCAGTGCACAGCCTGCACCACTGTGTGAGGCTGGTGATGCTGATGAGGCTGTCTACATGATGATGCAGGAGGAAGGTTTTGAGAAAGGAAAAGAAATGATGACGGCCCAGACCCTCAGCCAGGTTCCCGTCTCATGTTGAAAGTAGAAGTTTGTCTTCTTAACCCCTGGCCCTCTTCCTCTTCTTCTAGATGACTTGCTTTTGGAGGGCTTCAGCAACTACACATTCCTCTCCAATGGATTTGTGCCCATCCCGGCTGCCCAGGACGACGAGATGTTCCAGGAAACGTTGGAGGCCATGGCCATCATGGGCTTCAGTGAAGAGGAGCAGCTATGTAAGCCTTCACACCTGAGTCCGGGATTGCCAAAGAGACCCAGATTTATGCTCTGGGTAGTACCGGAATTAGTTAGGGACTCTTCTCTGGTCAGGAGGGATTTCTGGTCTCTGAATTCCCCACCTCTTAAAAAAGAAAAAAGGAGGAGGAAAATGAATTTTACTCTAGGTCGTTTGGTGGTATTTTAGAAAAGTAGCTGTATGATTAGGGCTCTTACTGTTGCAAGTGATGCAAGCTGGCTTAAACAAAAGGGAAAATGATTCGGTCATATTGCTGAAAAGTTCGGGGATATTGGTTTCAGGTACAGTGGGATCTAGGGGCTCGAAGATTTCTCTAGGACCTGACTTCTTGTCCTCTATCTCCCAACCATATTGTCTCTACATAGAATGGAGTTTCTTGACAGCAACATGGCTGGGTTCCAGCCCCTTGTATTCTTTGGGATTTTGTCCAAAGAGCAGAGCAGATTCACTGCTGGCGTCCCTGAATTGGAGTCTCATGGACGCTGATTGGTCGGCCTGGGTTGACGTGCACATTCCTGAGCTGCTCACTGTAGCCAGGGTGCTGGAAAGTGCTGAGTGGTTTGGTGATGGGCTCTAAGAATGGATTCTCAGCAGGACCATGTGGGCAGGCGACAGGGGATGGGAGTGACTGAGGCCGTGGGTGTACTTGGATTCTTCCTGGAAAGGCGGCTCTGGTAATAGACCAGTGTTGATTAATATCATTTGACCAATGGCCAAGATACATACTTGCTCTTGACAACAGGACAGCTCAAAGGGGACCATATTCTTGGTCTCAACACTGTGCTTCAAGAAACACTTTTCCTTCTGGGTTAGATGTGCCCCAGTGTTCAAGGTTAACCTCTTTTGGGAACGCCAGGGCAAGATTGTGGAAAATTTCCCTTCCTTCCCATGCCCGCTCCCCTTTGGAGCCCCGGAATAGCGCTGTTTGCTGAAATGCAGCATATAGGGACAGACGGGTCCTCCGGAGATAGTTTGGGGTCCAGAAAAAGAAGGCTCCGTGGGTCAGTTGACAAACGGAGGGTGCTTGTGGGTTCTGGCCAAGGTCCCACATCACAATCCAGTGCTGATGGCCTCCCTGTCTGAATGCCATGGACTCCCCAAGAATGAATCATTTTATTTGGGACGGGGGTCAGTTTTTCTTCTAATCTCACTTTAAAAAAACAACAACAAATAGTAAGTACTTGCTGTGTGCCAGGCATTTGCCAAATCCTATTTTTTTTCCTTAACATACTAGGACGTTCAGTACCGTTTTATTTAAATGATAAGAAACTAGAACAAACTAAATTGTCGGTTGATAGAGGATTTATTAAATTGTATATCCTTGTGAAAGAAAACAATGGGGCTATTTAAATTGTGCTTTAGAAAGACTTTGACTTATGTGGAAATGTTTATAACATATTTAAGGTGAAGGCATGAAAGCAATATGCTAAGAGCTTTATATGCATTATTTAATATCACAGCAACCCTACGAGGTAGCTGTTGTTATCCCCAGTTTGCAGATGAGGAAACCAAGGCACAGAGAAGTGAAGGAACTTACCCAAGGATACACAGCTAGTTGCTAAGGGAGCTGGGACTCACTCTCTGGTCTTGCGGACTCCCAAGCCCGGCGTGTGTGCTTCCCACCACCGCATGGGACCACCAGCCATCGCCACCCTCGCTGTCGTGTAGCCCCTTCCAGTTTTCCACTTTGCTGTCTGCCAGCTCTTCCCACTGGTTCATCTCGACGGCCTGGGAGTGGTGGCATTCTTTTGTCATCTCTGTGATCACATTAACTCCACCAGAAAGTGCAAACTGGTGACTCTAGAGTGCACAGAAGAGATTATTTGGTCACAGCAGCCTTCACAAATATTTTAAATAGGCTCCCAACATTTAAACATGGGTAGATTTCACACAAAAATTTGGGTTTCCATCATCCTTGGAAAAATTCAAACTTCCGGTAATACCGGGCTTATCTGCCCCGTGACAACGATGGAGTAGCTGCTGCCTCCCTTTGGGTGGCGTCCCCACAGTCCCCAACAGTCAGCTTGGTTCACGTAGACCAGTGGTTTTCAACCAGGGGTGAGTTCCTCCCAACCCGTAGGGGACATTTAGCAAATACCTGGGGACGGTTTGGGTTGTCACAGCTCTGGAGGGAGCACCGCTGACATCTAGTGGTTAGAGACCAGGGATGCTGTTAAACATCCTGCAGTGGTGCCCAGGACGGCCCCCCACAACAGAGAATTATCTGGCCCCCAATTTTATAGTGTCGAGATTGAGAAACCCTGAGTTAGGCTGCTCACCTGGGTTCTGCAGGCATTTCAGCAAGGCCTAGTTCAGACTTGCGCTTCAATAACCATGAGTACAGCTCTTGATAGTTTACAAAGCGCCTTTCATAGATGTTATTGGTCAAGGAAACTGTCTTAGCAATGTCCTGTCCATAGCGGCTTTGTTCACCGTGGGGCGAGGGGTTTCTGCAGTAGTGAGTGGGAGCGGATGGTGGGTGGTCAGCAGCTGGGTCTTTCCCCTGCCGAGCTGGGCCAGGGACCCTGTGGTGTGAGGATAGCTATTGTGAAGGGCCTCGTAACCCCTACTTTGGCCTGAGGAAGCAGAGGAGGCTGGGATCTCCAGGGTTTGTTTCTGGAACACGGTGACTTCTTACAAGCCAAAACTCTGATTTGCGCCTGCGTTAAGCTAAGCCAAGCATTTGCATTAATCAGTCACCCATGCATTCTCCATCTATCCGTCCATCCATCCGTCTGTCCATCCACCCATCATCCATCCTCCACTTACCATCATCCCTCCCTCCCCTCCTATGTACGTCTGGACCCTGGACTCAGTTTTGGGAATTTAGAGGTGATTAGGGCAGGACCCCTACGCTCCAGAAACTCATGGTCTTGTGGGGATTTCAGACACAGAAATCATTTTAACAGTAACATGGGCTGAGTATGGAGTTAGAAGGGTTCGAACTATTCTGGGAACGCAGTGTTTTTGTCTGGAGACACTTAGAAACAGATTTCCACCTTCCTAACATGAGCATCTTATACACCCAGCAGAATACGTTAAGCACAGGGTTTTAAAAAAAAAAAAACCTTTATTTACATAAGATTTACATGTAGAAAATTGTGTACGCCATAAGTGTACAGTGCAATGAATTTTTATGAACTGCGCATACCTGTGTAATTGGCACCCATTTTAAGTAGGAGAACACTACCAGCCCCCCAGAAGTTTCCTCCAATTAGGGATAACCATTATCCTGACATCTAACAACACAGGTTAGTTTTCCCTATTCTTGAACTTCCTATAAACCGACTTACACAGCATGTTCTTGTTTACATCTGTTGTCTTTTGTTCAGCATTTACGTCTGTGGGATGTGTCAGCTTTGTCGTCTGTAGTTGCAGGTCGTTTATTCTCACTTCTCTGGAGCAGGGGTTGACAAACATCTTCTGCAAAGGGCCAGACAGTGAATATTTTAGCCTCTGTGGGCCATACGATCTCTACCGCAGCTGTTTAACTCTGCCATTGTAGCGTGCAAACAGTTATAGACGATATGTAAATAATCGAGTGTGCCTGAGTTCCAATAAAGCTTTATTTATAACAGCAGGCAGCGGGCCAGATTTGGTCCATGGCTGTAGGCCAGTCCCCGATGCATGGTATTCTACTGTGCCAGGTTTTTAGCAACCGTCTGAAATTATTCAGTTCCCCCCATCAGGTTTTCTCCCCTGTTAGCAGGGAGTTAGGGAGTTTAACTCTCTCCTAGATACAGGGGCTCAGAACTGGGTCTCTTCAGAGGAAACATGTGGGCTCTGGGTCCCCAGTGACTTTTAGACTCCAAATCGGCAGAGCACCGTGGTGTTGACATCTGTGTCTGCTCTTCTCTCCCTTCCTCACCTCAGCCATATTGAAGGTGGTGTCATCTGTACTACAGCTCGGAAATATCGTCTTCAAGAAGGAAAGAAACACGGACCAGGCGTCCATGCCCGATAACACAGGTACTGCCCACGTTTTCCCAATAACTGATGACTTTGGGGAAGGAGGAAGGGTCACACTCCGTCGCTGGGAATTTTTCTGGGTGAGGGTATCTGGGATATTAACAATTACTGGACTAGGTTATTATCACTGACTTCTTTTTTCAAACTTTTCACTGCTCAGGACCTTATGTGAAAGTCTTTGAATCAGGATGCAGGGGGCAAAAACCTAATAGTTTTAGATCAGACAGGATCCTTTGAGATTCTCTCTTCTAAAACCCTCCACTCATTTGTTTTGTTAAACAAATACATCTTGAGCACCTGCTGTATGCCAGGTGCTGGGATTTAGCAGGAAGGAAGACGTGGTACATCGGTCTTGCTGGGGAGACAGACCTCAAGTTTCCCTGCAAATTAGGGGTGCCAGATAAAATGCAAGTGTCCGGTTAAATCTGAATTTCAGACAAACAACAGACACTTGTTATTATAAGTATGTCCCGTGTAATATTTGGAACATAATTATACCAAAAAAGTGTTCTCGTTTATTTGAAATTCCGATTTCACTGGGCATTCTGTATTTTTTCCTCTAAACCTAAAAACCCTACCCACAAATAAGCAGTATTTTGTGTTTTGAGAAGATGGCCTGGCTACCACCATGCTTGTTGGTGGCTGAGCCGAGACGAAAACTTAGGTTTCCCATTTGCTGGCTCTTCAGGGAAAGAAATTAAAAAGCACCATTGACAAGAGATGGGGGAAAAGTCCTAAAATCACTCCATCTGCTGTCCTTGCCCGTGCAAACTGTCACGCAACACTAGTCTTTGAGTTAGGGAAGCGGCTAGTGGTGGATGTTTTTTTTTTTTGAAAAAAAGTTTTAAAATTCAGAAATGTACACAATAATATAACAACCCCCATGCCCGCTACCCAGAATAGACATTTGTGAAAATGTTATAATATTTCTTTGTCTCGAACACGAAATAAAGCCATACAGGTAACATTGACGCTCCCTTGTTCTCTCCACTGGGTCCCCGCCTCCTGCCTGTCCCCGAACCTCCAGCAACCACAATCATACTTTGCCGTGTCCCCTTCCAGTCCACTTTACACTTTCACATGCACGTAGCTTTGTCAGCGTTTTTAACTTACATGAATGAAGCATGTCACACTATAGGCATCATTCTGCAACTTGCTTTGTTTCATTCTTGAGAAACAATCTAAATACTCACCATTGTTCAGATTATTTCTCAAGAGTAGCACCCCCCACGTATGACAATCAAAAATGTCTCCAGACATTGCCAAATGCCGAATGTCCCCTGGGGCAAAGTCGTCCCCAGTTGAGAACCTCTGGTCTAGAGAGAAAGAGAGAAAGAGATCATTCCTTTAACTGCTGTCTGGTATTCCATCTTACGAAAATGCCACTTCATACTAATGGACACGTAGGTGTTTCCAGTATCTTGCTATTACAAACAATGCTGCAACACATATCCTAGAACAGTAGGACAAATCATACCTTACCTCATTTAATACTAGAACAGTCGAACAAATCATACCTCATCTCATTTAATTCTGCTGTTGACAACCTGACAAGGAACCCAAGAGCTGACCCTTTTTATTTATTCATTCATTCATTCATTCATTCATTCATTGAGACAGGGTCTTGCTCTGTTGCCTGGGCTAGAGTGCAAAGGCATCATCACAGCTCACTGCATCCTCAAACTCCTGGGCTCAAGTGATCCTCCTGCCTCAGCTTCCCGAGGAGCTGAGATTACAGGCATATGCCGCCACACCCGGATAATTTTTGTATTTTTTATAGAGACGGAGTCTTGCTATGTTGCCCAGGCCGGTCTTGAACTCCTGGCCTTAAGCGCTCTTCCTGCCTCAGCCTCCCAAAGTGCTGAGATTACAGGTGTGAGCTACCGCACCCAGCCTAAGAGCTGATCCTTTTGAAAGCTGAGAAATGCAAGACTCTAGGAGGCTAAATAACTTGTTCAAAGTCACGTGACTTGGAATTGGGAAGCGGGCAAGGACTTGAACCTAGAACTATCTGACCCTAAGACCCCAGTTGGGACATACCTCTAGCCCACCCCTGTCATTGCTTCTGAGCAAAACACTGGGGGCGAGGTCACTGATGCCAGCAGTCTCTGGGACTCTTTCATGTTCACTACCATCACGTTCCATTTCTCCAAGAGAAGTCAGTGTAGACACAGACAGCAAATGTCCCATGTGATGTGCCTTCCTTGCCCAGCCATCTCTTTTGTGATGCACTCAGGATGCTTCTTTTCTCCATTCAGCTGCTCAGAAAGTTTGTCACCTCATGGGAATTAACGTGACTGATTTCACCAGAGCCATTCTGACCCCACGTATCAAAGTTGGGCGGGACTTGGTACAGAAAGCTCAGACAAAAGAACAGGTAATGATGCACTTGCCATTTATGCCTGC